AGCTACGAGGGATAATGGATCATCAAACATAAAAGATAAATATTAAAAAAAAAATGAACTTTATTGTTTTTCATTTTTAGCTTAGAATGACATTTATCCGGTCTTTACTGTTGCCGGGGGAACAGTCCATCAAGTGGCAGCAGAATCGTCTCAAACTCGTTAGTTACAAATTGCGATGACTACCACGACGACTCGAGCTATTGATAAGAGCTGGAAAAATGTTTGGCCAAGTGGGCGACAATTTTAATTTGCTGTGTTTCCAACCGTTTTGTATTTTTCTTTTTTTTTGATTTTCGGTTTTTGTATTTGCCAGCTTAGATCCGGTTGCCAGGCCACTGCGATTGTCGCTGCTACTGCACTTAGCCGTAAATCGTCGCCTCCGCTTCCGGAATCAACGGAAGTGCAACATTTAATTACGCCCAGCATGGCAAACGATTCCGTTTCATTTGTTTTAGTATGTGAATGGTTTCTTCTAACTCCCCAATCGACAGCAAGGACTGAGCATGAATATCGTGTATACGCCATGAGGTACTACTGGGAAATGAACTGAACTGAAAGGACAGCGCGAACAGATTGATGCAAATGCCCAATGCAGATGTCGATGTCGATGAGAAGTCAGCCAGAAACTGGGTTAATTTTGGTCCGCGACTTTATTGCATTCAAAATGGAGCGCAACTATAATCACCAGAGCGGAAATGCCCGGGGAAGGGTTCGGGCCAGGAGTAGAAGGAGGAACGGGAGCTGGGTATATATGAACTCACATATCATGAGCAGCTATGGGAACGGCATCGAATTCAGGGGATCAATCGTGCGTGGAGTTTTAGCCTGGCCAAGGCGCAAAAGTTGCCATCGGTCGTCGTTGGCGACAGCTGCCTGCTCAATGGCCGCAACCTAATCTAATGGCCATGTGCAGAGTTTTGGTCCCTGGTTTCTGACCCCTTCGTTTCTCTTCCGTTCCGTTCCGGCCTGCCTTCCCCCTCCCCGTATATCCTGCAGCTAATGCATCTGTTAGTGCCGCTGTTTTTACCACAACCATTTCGCTCCATGCCGCATAAGCCGCGAGCATTATTTTTGACCGCACGACCAGTGGTCCCGGAGTGTGTTTTTGCCCCATGGCGGCACAAGAACTGTCCAGGAAGAAGTGGAACGACCATTAAAATATTCTTGAATGGGGCTCTTTTAAAAGTTTATTTTGTACTTAAATAAAGTGAAAAGTTTTCCGTCTACTTATGCAAAAAAGTGTTATTAAAAATATAATTTTTAGCTCTGAGCTGGAAGGTAATTATTTTTACGGAAATAGAGCTTGATTTTTGTAATTAAATATTTGTTCAATTATAATTGAACAATAATTATTGTTGAAATTGCATCTACATCATTAAAATGGTTTCTTGAATTTCAAACTAGTTACTGACTCATGATTAATAAAAATAAAACGAATATAATTGTTATGATTGTGTTTGCAATATTTTTGTTCCATTAAAAATCCAGACAAATATCGTATCAGTGAATTATTTTATCGAACAATATTTGAAAAGATATTAAGTTTATATATAGCACCTAACGTCATTTGTATTTTATATCGTTGATTATTTGCATTTTCCCTTTATTCTAAGACTAATATCCAATGCAATGCATAGATATTTGTATTTTGTTGGAACGAATTAATTGATTCCGATACGGATCAGGAAAGGCCAGTTGTCGAAAAGATCTACAGCTTTGGCTGGGTGGTGGGATGGTTCGATGGCTGGAGTGGATTTATGAGGCTTCCCAGAGCGACGAATTGCAGCAAAGTTTGTCAACGTTGCGTATACGCCGCATGGGCTGGGCTGAACTGGCCAGGGCTTGGCTTAGTTGGCTTAGCCGGAGTTTGAAGGAAAAATTAGTCAACATTTTCATGTCCTGCCGGCATTTGTCGTACCTGACTCTGTTGTTTATGGTTGCCTCGGTGGCAATTTATGGCCGCCCATCTGGACCTTGTCTAATGACATAATTGGAGCCCGTCCGAAGTGCAGCTCTAAGTGCAACGCAACAAAGAAGCGGGGAAAGTGGCTTTGGTGGTGGAGCCGTAGTGTTATGGTGGTGATGGTGGCGACTCCCCTCAGCTTTGGGGCTGCAATTAATTTACGATTTTTTGTGCGGGCTGCACTCTTTGCAGCCAATTGGGCGTGCGGAGTGGCAGTTGCCAGCTGCCACAAACTTGGGCATATGTTGCCACAAATTATAGCCACATTTTCTGGCAGCCGCAGTGAAGTTGAAAGTTGTTAAAGCGCCAGCCCTGGAAATTTTCTTGAGCTGCTTCATTTACTGCGAATTGAATTTAAAGGCAGTCTTGGCCTGGATCGGGCCCGGCATCCATTTCACTTTGTGTGGTCGTGGCTCATTGCCAAGATGTGTGTGGTCCACCCCCCTTCTAACGTTTCTAACGTCCCCTTCCCGCTCTTTTCGGCCATCTGCGCTTTTGGCCCGTCCCTGGATCAACATTTCGCTTTTGTCTGCCTGCCAGACTTCGCAAGACTTGAACGTTTTTACCGCAGCTGCTGATGCTGCTGCTACTAGTGGCTGCAGCTTCCTTTGTGCTGCACTCGCTTAATCCGCTGGCTGGCCGCTCTCATTTCCTGCATTTTCCTCTCATGCTGCATATCGGTCTAGTGGCAGCCATGTGTTTTAGGATGTTTGATATGCGGCAAGTAGATTAATTATACTCTACCCAACGATGTACCGTCAAAGATCCAATTTCCGAAATATAAATCTAAAAAAATTGTATTTAAAAATACGTCCTAAACTCATTAAGCTTTAAGTTTCACATGTATCTCCTAACTACGAAACTAAATTTGGGCTCATTTCTATTTCTCCTAAGCCAATTGGCATTTCCGTTGCCAATGGCGAAGCCAGCTAGCTATTTCCTAAGGAATGCCAAAATGAATCTAGAGCAATTTTCAATTATTGCACAATCGAAGCGTAAATAAGTTGTAAATCATCAATTACCCCACAAAAAGAAGCCAAGAAGCCCCCACACAAGTACTCACAAATATTACACAGTTACAACAACTGCAATTGCCAAGAAATCGCCAAAAGCGGATACGTGTCCTATCGCTTTCCCAAAAAAATGAAAAAGAAACAGCAATGAGGGGGGTATGGGCCTTAAAAGGAAGAAAGCTGGCCGGCCAGACAATGGGAAATCGTAAAAATAGCAACTAACAATCCAAAAAGCACTCGGCCACACTGCGACCAGGACAAAGTCGAGAACAGGAGATAAGCAGCTTCACCCGAATGGGAGCACAAACAGTGCACTATGGGAGAAAATACCGGAGAAGCAGGACGAAAAAGGAACTACATATATCCGAAAGGTAATGGCAGCATTACGTTTTTATTTTATGGTGTTCTTGAAAAAGAGTGATAAAGTCAAAGCTGTATTTAAAGTGTTCTTGTTGCTCTTAAATGTTTTAAATAGCTTAAAGAATCGATATTTTATATTCTTCGAAAGAGTTTTTAAACATCGTTTTTACCAAAACTTTGTAATTGCTAAAGCTTGAAGTCTCTACAAAAAATAATTTAAATAAAATATTAAACTGAAATTTACCCAAAGAGTATTACTAAGCCTTCTATTATTTTTGTAACAGTGCTTCTAAAGGAAGTGCTCCTGGCCGAGCAGTGAAAACCCTAAGTAGATAGATAGAGAAATGTCCCTCCGACTTTGCCGGCATGTGATTTATGTGGTAAATAAAAGAAGGACAAGAACAAGAGCTAGAACAAGCTTGCGAATCAAAGCACGGCGATAGGGGCTCCGAACCGACATAGGAGGTGGTTCAGTGGCTGCAACATGCGATTCCGATGGCAATTGCAACAAGCAGCAGTAGACAGCAGGCGGCATGTGGCATGCGGCATAGGCGGATTCAAAGACAAAGGCATGGGTTCCTGGAAAGAAGGCAGTGTGGCAAGGAGGAAGACAGTCAGACGGAAAGCTGGCAGAGAGGCAGGCAGGCAGGCAGGCGGCGAGACGGAGCAAAAGTTTTTAATATTATTTCAAGTCTGAAATGAGGGCAATCAGCAAGTGCAATTGTCGTCGAGCGGCTGGCATAACAAAAGAGCCGTTTTTTGGCCAAGCCAGGGCAGAACGAAGGCGGTTGGGGGAACAGAACAAAGGCGTCTCCGAGATGGATCTCGGGAAAGAGACTCCGCCAATAAGCGATGGGAGTGCCCGCTGTCAACGCCAAATGAAGCGCAGGACGCCCCAAAGGAAAGAGGTGAATCTGCGGATAGAGGTGGGTATGTAAGTACATAGATGCTGCCGCTGAGGGAAAACAAACAAAGGCCCCAAAAGGCAGTGACAAAGGCCCAGGATGCGGGTGGAGGAACTGCCACAGAAGTTGTAGATAGGATGGCTTACAAGTAGGTAAACGATGTAGTTTCAATTAAGGATGTACCAAGGATGAAAATGGCGGCTGAATCGCGCAATGAACCGTACAGGAGCGCGAAAGAGAGACAGCGAGCTGGCAAAGGAGCGATTCTGTGCTAATGAAGACGTTTCGTTCGAGAAGCGTTAGTCGGAGCCTTGCATCCTGCAACCAGGATGCACGCGTGTCCTCCGCCGTTTGAGCGATGACAGCGGAACGTTTGGCAACCGAAACAGGCGATAAGGCGAATGCGTCAAACTGAACTTGTACCACTAACCCAGTTAGCCGTGCCACGAAACGAGTGGCAGAGAACACCCATGTGTCCTGGCACAATGCGCATCCTGTTGCGAGCACAGACGAAGAACCGAGCTCCACCGTTAGCCGAGGAAAATGAAACGAACGGTATTTGCAACGCTGCGGCCGAGGTTCGACTGCGGACTTTCACTCAATACCGTCCGAAAATGTTGCTAAACCTATGAATGTTGAGATACAAACGTATCTGTGGCTTATCGCCTTGAGAGTATTTTTTTGTGGGCCCTTATCAGTCAAGCTAAACCAACACGTTTCTGGGGGTGGGGTGGGCTGGCGTCGGGGTTCCAGCTCGTGCCGGATACCCGTGCGCGCTCATTGGGTCTCCAACCTCCTCAGCAGAATGCCGTCTCAGCCCGACAGATGGACTTGTTTATTTTTTTCGCTAATTTGGCTCCAAGTAAGCCTACTGAACGCCGCGCTGGACTTCCTGCAGACGGCAGTGCCACTGCCCCTGGTGCGTCATCGGCAGCTGGAGGATGATGAGCGGACCATGGCGGGAGAGTGCACCCTGGGCGCACTAAGCATACGAATGTTTGCCTTCTGAGAACGGAAACACGGTTTATTAACCTCCATACAAATTAGGTGACATTTGGCACACAAGGTGATAAGAATTAGACGACCTATATTACTAAGTGCATATTTATTACGACTTGTATAGCAATCTATTCTAGTTATTGAATTGTAAATGATTACATTGTAACAATTATACAAATATTAGTGAGTATTATATTCAAAGTCTTGTTATTGGCTGTTTAAAATTATTCGATTGTTTATTGAAAGATGTCGATGACTAATCTTTGCATTAAAGATTTGTATAATAACACAAGAGATTATGCTGTTTTTTTTTTTTTTATTTTTTCCAGTCATAACAAACATAAACCCAAGAAAACAAATAAATGTATTTGGTCTCTGCAATAAAAGTATAAAATGAAACTTTTAACGAAGTAAATATTCCAAACAAAAATATAATTTTACAAATACAAAACACTGGAGGACAAATCTGTATGTAAATGGAATTTTGTTTACCTATCCCAAGCTCGACAAAGTAACATGCATTTAATATGCATCTCCAGTTGCATAATTTCATTTCCTATTCAATCTTCGCACACCAAAATTTTAATTAAAAATTCATCTCACCCAGTAAGGGACAAAAAAGTATAATTTATATATGAAACAGTTCTCCGGACATTTTGGGGCTGCTTATCTTGCGTTGACATACCTTGTCAGTTTGCAGAAATATCAAATGGAATTTATGGCAACACCAAAAAGTCCTTGCCGAGAAGTAAAAAGTTTCTCTCTCTTCCGTTCTTGGCTAGGTTCTGTTTTTCTTACGTTTTTTGACAGTTGAAAGTTCATTTTCTGTTCGATTTGCTCAAAATGGGCATCAGGCAACTGGCACGGGCTTCGATAATATTTCATTATGTCGCCTTGGGGCGGCAACTTATTCATTTGCATAATTCTCTTGTTTACAATTTGCGTGCAACAAAAAATGAATAAGCCCAAGAAAAAAAAAGTGTGGAGAAAAAAGCGCCAAACGATTGACTTAAATGAAGTTACAACTTGGCAGCAGCTAAGTGAAAGCAGCAGTTGCAAAATAAGAAAATTTATAATATTCAATTTATATGCACTTTTTGCAGCTCCATCTTCCCAGCTCCCAAGGAGGAGAACAACAAGTAGCCGGGAAACAACAAAATCAGGGGAAACAACTGCAGCTGCTAAGCTGATAATCCCAGATTTCAAGGCGCCAACAGCTGCACCCACTCAGCCACTAGCCCCGCCCCCTAATCCTTCGCCTCCGGCTCCTTTTCCGTCGCTGTGATTAATGAGATTTGTCACTGGCTTCATTTGTATTTTCCATGCTGTTGACTTGGTCCAAGAGCCAGGACCAGGATGAGGTTGCCCCTCAGTCCCGCTCTCTTCAAGAAGCCAACTGACATGCATATAAATTTCATAAATGCCAGGAGCCTGCAATTGCAAGGCCTCGACCAGAACCAAGTGTCCGACAGAAGCAACAGCAGCTGGCCCAGCGAATTTGCATTTTCATTACTTTCAACTCAATTTAAAAATGAAAATCACCAAAGACAAACAGCGATGGGTCAAGCCCTCCAAAGCGGAAGGAAGTCGCTTAGCTGGCGTGCCTTATTATAATTCGCATAAAAATAAAAGCCCCAATCCCCTCGGCCCGGCCGCCACTTGCCCCCGATAACTAAGTGGCACATTAAATTTACCCGAGCCTATAATTCATTTGTTAAGCCTGCCTCAGTTTCAGTTTCAGTTCCGCTTCCATCCTTGGCCAAGATGATCATTAGGACGAAGGACATATAGTGTTTATTATACCCTAAATTTTGGATATTTAAACATTTTTGATTAAAAAAGCAAATACAGTTTTTAAAGTTATTAATAATAGGATATAAAGACGGAGACTAACCTTTAAAAATCTTTTTGAAAGGGAATTTATTAAGTTGGTTTCCTTGTATTGGAACCTTGTACTGGCCTTTTATTCATTTTCCCTTCAGTTTTATTATTATTTTTTTTTTTTTATTTTATTTTAGTTGAGTTTGTAGCTGCATTTCGGTGGTATCTCCACTTGGTCTCAGCTCAACTTAACTCCTCTGAGTTCGTCTCAGCTCGCCTCGTCTCGGCCCGGCCCGGTTGAATTATGGTGGGCAATAAATTTATATGACATATAAATGTAAATAATTGAGCAGCGCGGAGCCGCCGTCTAGAGTTGTCACAGCGGTGAGGTTTCTGGCTTTTGGGGCCCAGGGGCCTGGGATGTGCCGCCTGGATGTGGGTAAGGGGTGCCAGCGGCTTGTTGGCTCTGTGATTGATGCGGGCCCCACTCTGCTGCTCCTCGCATAAAAGTCCTTAATGGCCATTCTGGGTCGGCCATTTAATTTAAAGTTTTGTTGCATCTTTTTGAAACATATTTATTGTATTTGGCTTTCGTAGAACAAAAACAAATAAAAAGGACTAGCAAGCCAGGGCAAAAAGGGGCAGGGCCGAGGACATGTCGATGTTCAGCTTCTTGATCATAGAGTTGATTTGATCCTGGCTCTTAAGGCCATAGACCTCAAACGGTTTGACATTGAAGCGGCTGACACGCGTACCGGATATGGACATGAGGAACTTGTAGTAGCTGGGTCTCAGGGCCGTAGCCTCCAGGATGCAGGCATGGAAGAGGATCGCAGTAAAGAAGCTGTACATAATCATGGTGAAGTGAGGCACCACAGGCAGCTTTCCCTCGGAGACGCCCCAGTTGTAAAACAGCTGCAGGGCCTTCCACAACACATACAAGGACACGGTAGTGTTGGGGAAGCGGAAGAAGCCAACCGAACCGATCAAACCCGCCGGAATAGCGAAGAGAGCATTGTCAAAACCGAAGCCATGCCTCAAGCCACAAGAGGTGCTCTGAAAGGATGAAATAGAAAGAGTCAAATCATAATACATAACACCATAACACATACCTTAAACAAAAAGGAGAAGATTCCTAGAGCCAGTCCGAGTTGTAGAGAACCCTTGTTGAAGATCTGCTTGCGCCACTGCATCTTAAAGTTGATTATTTTGCTAATGTTGAGTACCAGTTTGAGGCCCACAGACAGTCCCACGCCTCCTAGGAACGGTCTTAAAAATCCAAGGCTGGCGTATTGGACACATCCCGTCTTGTGGGGACAACTGGGATGCTTGGCCGAACGAATTTGGTCATAGATCTGTAGGTACGCCGTAATGCTCCGGAAGTCTAGGGGCCTCTGTCGGGAGCTCTGCGTCGTGGTCACCGCCGGAGTCTTAAGTGGACCCGCTTCCTCCTTGCCCAGAATTAGGTCCAGAGCCTTAAATGTGGCATCCTTGGCCACTGTCTTGTGCAGGCCAGTTCGGTAAAGATACATCAGGGCGGTGACACCAAGGCCCATGATGTACACTTGGGCATTGGGAATGGACTTGACCAGACCGCGAGCCTCTAGCATTTTCCACAGAGTCTCGCTGCCCACGTTAGCCACATACAAGGCTAGGGGCACTCGGCGTTCTGGACGCTCGACGGCCAGGGAAGCCATGCTGGCCAGGAAGGTGGGTATGAAACCCACTGTGCTTAGGTAGAATCCACCAAGTAGCCTACGCAGCTGGCAAACGGCAAAGACATAGAGGCTGGCGTTGAGGGTGAGGAACGAGGTAGATTGCAGGATACCGGACACGGTGCGTCCGAGGTCCTTGACTGAGGGGATGCGACCACGCATTACCAAGGCTAACTGGATGATAAAAAATATAAAAAATTAGTATTTGATGTTTATATTTTATAAAAAACAAAAAGAATCAATATTATGAAAAATCTGAACTTTGTACTTCGGTCTACAAAATTTCATATCATCGGTATTTTTCTATATTCATGCCACACCTGGGAATTCAAACTATTTTGTTTATTTCCTGTTGTTAACTCACCAGGTAGACCGTGCAATAGGTGCGCAGGGACGGCGGAATGGCGGACAACATCATGCCCGCCGTTCCAGCGGCACAGCTGGAGGTCCATGGATGATTGTGCTCAAAGCAGGTGGTGCTGAAGGCTATTTCCGCAAGCTTACTCTGGGCTGCCATGATCCACTTTGAATATTGACTTACGGACTATGATTATCAAAATGGCTTTGGCGCTGGCCGAGTGATAAAGCTTATCGTGGAAGGTTGTTTCGTCGAAAGAGTGACCGCCTCGTCCAATTCAATCCGAAATGCTGCTACTTAATCTCAATGGTCTACTTTTAATCGAATCCACGGGTTTCCCATTAGCACGGTGTGTATTTTCAAGTACGAAGGTTCTTAGCTATCACTCGGAGTAACCAGTACTTTCTGTTGCAAAATTTAAACTTAATCCTTCGCTAGAAAAAAAATTCTATTAATTGTATTATTTAATATCGAATCTCATTTAAATTACTTTGTTAAAAGATTGTTTTCCAAATCATCTGCGGCTTTGATGTTTTCGTTTATTGTTATATTTAGGGGTAAAAATACTTTTTTTTATGGTACCGGTCCCTGATCACGTTTGGGCCCAATCAGCCACCAAATGCAACTGATACCAATGCTCTAGCCACGAATTGGACAAGTGGGGTTGGTTTTGGAGAAGCACGCCTTAGGAGTACCATTTCGCCGTAATCTAGGGAGTACCCTCTCCCCCGGAGTGGTTCGTTCTTATCTGAACCACGCGAGCCGAAAGTTTCCCATGTGTTCATACAATGTGTATATACTCCTCAATACCCGATCAGTTTGTTGACGTTGCGTCACAGCCATTATAACTTATCTATAACTAAGAGAAATGTGGGTGCATTGTATTCCTATCAGGCCTCTTTAACTTGCTCTCTTTGGGAATTTTTATTCCCAATCCAGAAAACCCATTATTTTTCCAACACTAGATACTTCTTAGATTTCGGCAACGCAATTGAAAATAACAATAATGAAATGAAATAGTAATGAAAAGACTGACTTGTAGTTTAAATCTTAAAAATGTGTAACTCCACCGCATTAACCTTTTTTCCAAAAAATAGTATTTAATAAGCTATGTTTTATCTCTTAAAAGATACTTTTTCCTAATTCAAAAAATTAAACAACGATCTATAAACTTACCAGTACCAAACTTACCAAATATCTGTGTGCTTCAATAAGTCAAAAACCCGAAAATTTTCCATTCAGATATAATTTGGTATCTGAGTCCAAGTATTGAGTCTGGTCAAGATTGGAATACCCCGCTTGGCACTACCTTAGCAACAAACTGCCAATAAGCTACATCATAGAAGCTCCAAATGTGTCTGGGGCAACCGAATTATTTTTCATAAAAGTTTGTTTACGCATTGTTGTTATCACTTAAAAAAGCTTCACCCGGCACGTGTGGCCTTTTTTAAGGTTCTTGATAAGAAATAACACTTTTCTTAACTGAAGCTCCCAAAAAAAAACTTTCACACGGTCGTGTTCCGAACTTTGATTTCTCCTTCATTTATAGGTGAAATAAACTTTATAAATAATCTAATTCCTCTAATAAATATAATACCATTATTGATTTTCATAGTTTTATTGAATAAAAATTGATACCAAGAAATAAAAACAATCAACATAATTTACATCCCACCCACACAGGCTTAGTTTAATAATCGTTGGACGCTCTCTAAGAGCGGGAGACTCTTGATATAGTACAATTAGATATATGTACAACTATCTCTAAATTGCGTATAAATGGAGATATGGTTTGGCCTTCGATCCACATATGATCTTGGTAATTTTCAAGAGGCTAATGAGAAGGCCGGGAGTACCGACTTTTCCACAATCTTCAGAGATTTGATGGTTTCCACCGCCTGTTTCTGGGTTTCTAAGCCGAATACATCAAAGGCGCTTAGATTAAACCTGCTTAATCTGCAAAGCAATAAAGAATGTTAGTTGAAGACTAATGCTTTTTAGATAAAATTAGCTAACCTTTCGCCTGAGATGGCCTGCAGAAACTTGTAGTAGCTGGGACGTAGATTTTTTGGCTCCAGGATGCCCGCATGGAACAGAACGGCAGTAAAGAATGAGTATAGGAACAGCATAAAGTTGGGTATTTTCGGCACGATGCCACTTTCTTGGCCTTTGTCACAAAGGATCTGTTAATGAAGAACGTAGTCTTTAGTAGTTAAACTCCCCTGAATAATATAATGGATGAATTAACCTGTACTGCTTTCCACATAACATACAAGGCAACTGTGTTATCGGGATACTGAGTATATGTCAGGGAAGCAACCAATCCGGCGGGAATGGCAAACCGGGCATCATCCCGATTGAAACTGTGCCGTAACAAGCATGAGATTGACTGAAAAATGTAATATTTATACAAAATATTACTGACAAAGTTCATTTCTATAGTTACCTTATACAGGAATGAGAAGCTTCCCATAAAGATGCCCAACTTCAGGGTATTGTGATTGAAGACCTGCTTATTCCATTGCATTTTTCCCGCCATGATTCGCTTGAAATTCATGACCAGCTTGAGGGCTACTTGGAGTGCCACTCCGCCCACCAAGGGCTTAATCCCGCCCAGCACCGCGTAGCCGACGCAGCTTTGCTGGTGTCGGCAGCTGGCATGCTTGGCGCGTATCAGGTTGCTGTAGACGCGTACCCAGTCCGAGACGGTTGAGAAGCTAACAGCGGGTCGGCTTTGAGAAGGCGCGGGCTGCTCACCAGGCACTATGGGTGCTGCTTCTGCCACAGGTCCCGCTTCTTCTCTGCCCACAAAAATGCGAAGGATATTGAAAATGGAGTCCTTGGAGCCACCCAGCCGGTAGATATAGAGCAGTGCCGCTATGCTCAAGCCAAAAATCATGGTCTGTCCGTGACGCAGGGATCGCACCCAGCCGCGCGACTCGGCCATATTCCATAACGTTTCCGTTGCTACGTTAGCCACGTAAAGGGTCAGCAGTGGCCTGCGAGCGGGCCGCTCCACCAGAATAGCCGTGTACGATGCCAGAAAACAGGGCACAAACGCAACTGTGCTAAAATGGTATCGACCCAGTGAGTTCCGCAGCAAGCAGTTGTACAAAATGAAGGTGTAGGCATTGGTCACCAGGAAGGCTGTCGACTGTATGATACCCAATATGGCACGTTTTAGATCCTCCTTTGTGGGCACTCGGTGGCGCATCAGTAGCGAGAGGGCATATACCACGGTATAGACCCGCAGGCAGTAAGGCGTTGCTGAGAGCAGAATCCCGGCCGTTGCATTCGCGCAGTGATCCGTCCACGGGTGCTGGAACTCCTGGCAGGTAATGCTCAGTGGCGAAATTAGTTTACTCTGCCCCGTCATAGTGAAAAGTCCACAACTGCAAAGTAGAAAGTGTACTTCTTAATTGGTTGCTTAGCGAATTTATATTGATTTTTGTTGATCATTCTTTTGATACGAATAATCAGAGTGCACTGAACTGACTTCTATCAGATGTTTATAAATAAATATCTTGATTGCACAACACTTTCTTTGTTTCAGGACCACTTTTTGTTACCCTAATCCTGATGGGGATTTTTTATGTACATGGGTTATAGTATTTAGTTTAGTTTTTGTTACTAAGAATACTATACTATAAATTCTTTTGTATCATAAAATCTCAAGTGTTCGAACAACTGTTTTGCGTAGGTGGAACCATTAGTCACCTAATATGGGGTGTCCGAGTCCGATGTTTAACCTTTAATCTTATCTGTTGGGCACAAGTGTACGGGTGGTTATTGTGCTTCTTACGAGGCTATCGGTTGTTCCACTGAACTTGAAAAGTTATTCCTAAAATAAGCTTGGGGATTTCGTGTTACTTCGCAGGGGAACGCTCTGCAGCTGCTGCTGGCCAGGCCAGAACTGAACTGTCCCAATGGACAATAGCCTGGAAAGTTGGATTGGCGGATTACAGTTGGTATATCATAATATATGGCTTGTCTACGATAAGATACATCATAGATTAGCCAGGCAAGGAGATTTGCCAGTAGCAAGGGCAAAGGGAACATTGAATGGTGTGATTTTATTACTCCTGTATAGTATTATCTATGGATCATGGGTTTGTCAACAAATTTATCTGTTTGTTGCTTATGAATTCTTGATTAACTTTAGAGCCAATTTAGTTTTACATTTTTAATCAAGGAAACTTAATTAAAGTCTGGTGACTAACAATGATTATTTACACGTTGATGAGAAGTAAAAAAAAAATGTTATGAGCAATATAACTGCAACTGAACTGAGGTTTATTTTAAAAGGTATAGGTCAAACTCTAAGTTAGCTACCTTGAATATATGACAAAGTTAATAGCTTCATTTAAGCTATCAAGAAAAAACAAGCTCATTCATATTATATTGTCTATATTACACGATATATATATATATACGAATTAAGTTATTAAAGTAACTATATTGACTTAATAATGTAGGCCTTTATAATACTAAATCCAACTTAGACTGAGAATGTAAAAGCGCGAAGAACCTTTGCCCCAGATTTGCATAAAAAATGATATATTCAAGAACTAAAGGTAATCGCTACGTGTCAGAGATATGGACTCGGTGGGGCTCCCACTAGAAATGCTAATAGCTAATCAAATCCCTTGCCCACCTTATCGGACGGCACTTACGCTCAACTACTTGTACACTTGACTGGGCAATAAAGCGATCGTTGGCTAATCACCGATTTGCTGGCAACTTGATTCGAGATACGGCAGCTGGTTTTTTTGGACGCTTAACAATCTTCCAGTTGGGCTATAGGCTGCTGATATGCTGTCTCTCGATGTTTTCGGATGAATGCTTGCTATTTCGACACTCCGAATCGCAAAATTTGACAAGAAAGTTTCCAGCGACGCACTGCTCCTTGGTTGCTCCGTTTGGGACTATCTGTTCCGCTCCGATTCGATTTCCGGATCTTGCCCTCGGCATCGGTGGCAGTGAATGCATATATTATACGGCTGCTGGATGAAAGTCGTAATTATCTCCGGGGCCACAAAGTCCAACAACAACAAGTGGTCGGGTGTCGGCAGAGTCTCTGGTTTCCGTTTTGCCCCTTCGACTGCTGCAGCAAATGGGCAGCAAGTGCTGCAGTTGCTAGCTGGAACGCTGCATGTCCAGCTGGTCCGATTCTCTGTATTAGTATTTATTTAATTAGCATTTATTCCACGAGCGGCTGTTCAATTGCGCGTTTTGTAAACAATAATACGCCCGAGTGGCTATCGGTATATCGATAGGTAGATGTGCCAAGTTAGGGGTGGAACTCTACCACCTTTAGGTGGCGGGAATTTCAAATTTTATTTTATTTTGGTGGATGGCAAATAACTATTTAATTTTTGAAATTATTTTCATTTTATTAATCTTAAAACAATAAAAAAAACTATTTGTACATTATATAGCAAATATATGTAGGTTATACTTAAATATTAAAACTTCAATGGTAAAATTTAATAAAAAGTTTACCGCTACTGAACATAAAAATATTATACCATTTATTTCTAGCCTAAACTATTTATAAAATGAGTTTAAAGTTTAAACAATTAAAGAGTGGAGCTGATAATAAGAAAACAACAAAAAGTAAAAGGAAATTAGTGAAGACCGGTCATCTCGACCAATCGACAGATTCAAAATTTTAATAAATAGAATAGTTGCCTCAGATTCAACTTCCTAAAACGAAAAACTGATTTCATAAAATTAAATTAGAATCAAGCTGAAATGGTATTCTTTCTCGGTATTAAAATTTAATTGGCTGCAATTATCCAACAAATCTGTTGAAGCCAATTTAGCCATCTTGCACCTCCTCACCTTGCGGCCTGAAGCCAACGCGTTGTTGAAATTTTCATTTACGAATCCTGCGGTGACCTCCTAGGCCACAATTCAAGCCACAATCGACTCGGGCGCAGGATGAAAGTCTAGTAGAGCACTTGGCCTGCGAAATTGTTTGCATTTCGAGTAGGTTGCGGGCGAGCTTCCCGTTGCCGAGCCATCAATTGGATTTTGGTTGTAGTTCATAAGTGTATCTCTGCCTGTCTCAGGCTTAGTTGCTATTTCAATTCCACTTTTGCTTCCATTTCTACCATTTGACGTGTTTTCCTGCTCCTCAACCTCTTTTAATTTACCATTACACTAGAAGAAATTGGAATTCCAATAAACTTTATAAGTAAAATTATAATTACTACCTTTTTCGGGCACTACTTTATGTTTTCAGTGATCCATTATATGCAATATTTTTATAACTTTCCCGAATAGTTATTAAAATCTACTTAATTTTTCTCAGTTCAGGCGGATATACAAAATATTTCGTTATTGTTTTGCGGCTGTTGCCGTTTCTATTACCTGGGGCATGATGGCTTATTTTGAAAGCCAAAGCGCTTAAGTAGTTCATTCAACATAGGCCCTAAATGGGGGGATGGATTCCGAACCATTCCTGCGCTCCTTGCGGTCCTCTGCTAAGTCTCATTTCTGGTGTTTCCCGCTCAAATGCTTAGCGAAATTGCGGCTGCTTTGTGTGATGCCCGGCCCCATCTCCACCTCCAACATTTTGCCGCGGCTTAGCCAAGAGTGTCGGTGTTTTGGAGCTGGATGTCGTGTATATCAAACATACTTGACTCTGTCAGGACCTGGCACTTACTTAATTTACTTGAGGTGTTTCGTTGATTCGGGGCTTCGGTGCTCCCTGGTATTTGGTATCCCCGCATAAATCTTTGTTTCTGACGTGTCGCCTGGCGCTAAGTAAGCACTTAAAAAGATTGGGTAAATGGAGGCGGGAGTCGGTCGTGGAAGCTACCTTATTGTTGCTGCTAATCTAAAGTTGCCCCCAGCTTTCGGGGTTCAATTGGCAATTAGCCCAGAACTTGACCGGGTTGTGTAGGTCGTGCAGCAGAGCAGCAGTGCAGCATAATCCTTGTAATTGCTGGCGGAGAAAAGGGCACCTAGGGGTCCTGGAAGCTGTCAATCCGGCAGCCACTTAGGAATCAATTTGGCTAGCGAAGCGTGCGTTTAATATGCATCCAAGAGAGAGCGGAGCGTGTGGAACGGAGTCTCAGAACGCAGTCCCTCGAATCGGATTTTGGACAGGTTGTGGAAAGAGCCGGGGCTTGGGGTTCATTGAGCTGCTTGACCACCGAACAGCACCTCCAGCCTCTGCTCCAGCATTTATAGACTTGTCTTGGGCTCATTTATCCTGAGCCACACATCCCCTTCGGCATTGCTTAATGCGAAGGTCCTGTTCAGGATGCTGCCTGCATGTGGCCATTTGTTTAGCCCAGTGTCCGGTGGGTGCTTGGGTGAATGTGTCTGTGTGGTTGCGTCCAAATGTGTTCAATTAAGCGGTAATAAATTGTTCATTTGCTCATTGGTGCGCAAGGCCATTACAACAACAGCAGGATCTATGGCTATAGAAGACTTTGTCGTCACTGTAATATATTATGGGAGCCAGATTATGGCCAGGGCCAATGCCGTAGCCACCAGCAGCAGCCTACATTGATGCATATCCTGCCATTAGCAAGCCTTTTGCATAATACACAATTAATTTTGCACATAGTTGTTATTTTATTAATTGCTTCCATTCGAATTTTTTGTTCTCAATCACAAAGTCGGTTTACCGAAGCCTGGCCAGTTTGCTTGGCCTAAAAACAAAAGACCGAAATCATCAGAGTGGAGGAGGCCAAATCGTTTACCCAAATGCCCCATTTTCCATTTCCATTCGCCGCAGCAAAACCGCCCAGAAATGTGGACCAGACCACACTGACTTCCCATCAAAATAGATATTTTGCGGCTGCCGTTGGTAACGAACGAATGCCAAAACAGACATTTCCAACCCGAAACCCAATTCCCATCTTCGAGCAAAAACTCAAACTCCCTTGTTTTCTTTAGGGGGAGTCACACATGTTCGGCTGTTTGGCGAGGGAGTAAATGTGTCAAATGTCACACAGACAATTGCCGCAATGCTGGCCAGGATACTTGTCGGGCGGAAGTTGTTACCAAATGTAAAATTAACAATGGATTATGTGCCACTATTGCTTTTTCTCTTTCTTTTCCTCCTTCACTCTTTGACTCTTATGTTTCTTATTCCTCCTATCATAGTTTACATGTGTGACCTCCTTTATGTCATGTTGCCTTTGGAAATGGAAGTTAAACATAACTTGACTTTTTTCTCCATATGACGATGGTTTCTAGAATATATTCAAAAATAAAAGTTCACAGGTTTAATCGAAATTTCAGAAGAAAAGCGATAGCTTATAGTGAGAGATATAGTACGTATAGTACTATATAGTACGTATAGTATGTATAATCCTTATCAGCATCACCTACTTATAAAACGAGTGAGAGTAATTGGAATTAGAAAGCCTCACTTCCACATTTCTATTTTCGGGATGGAACTGGTATAAAAGATAGGAATCTAAGCGATGAGTTCAGTCGCGAATCGCTCGTATTTTAAGTAGCCCAAAAAACGTATTAAAATTTTTATTGGAGCGGTCATTTCAAGCTTAACTATGAAATTAAATTTGTTATTCGCATTGCCATTGTGTATTTTATTTATGGCGTGCAGCGCAAGTCCGGAGGACTTGACTGTGTTCAAAAGGGCATTGGAGAGCTTCTCCCACGCAGTTAGGATCTACAGTACCGATGCCGTTGATGATCTCCAGCTAGAAGAACTTCGAGTTGTCATTAATATTGTGGATGAATCAATGCTCGAGTTCGAAGGAACCGCCAAAAATCACCTGAGCAATATAAGCAGCCTAGCATTGGAGCAGAAGTCTTTCGATTCGATTGTGAAGTTGTGCGATTCGGTAACCCCATCACTCGCCAGTTTTATCAAGAATATAGATGCAGGTCTTTCGGAAAGCGACAAATGCCAAAATTGGAACAACACAGTGAATGCACTAAATCAAGGCTTGATAAATATTACCCACTCTTTTGATAAATTTATAGAAGTGAAAAAGGAGAGGGAGGAGTTGCGTCAAAGTCTCTGTACAATGAAGAGCGCTTTGACCTTTGATTTTGGCCCTCAAGGCGTTTTCGAACAAAAAAATCAAGATTTAATTTTAAAAGACCTTGAACTCAAAAGTCAAATAGCTTCCGATCTTAGAAATAAATTTATGTCTAATGGAATAGACCACCAATACAATATAGAGATAATGAATTGTTTGGAAAAAACCTTTACGGATGTTCAAAAGTTTCGACAAGAAAAGCTGAACAAAGTTAAAGAATCCTTTAAACCCCTCCAAGAAACAATTGAAAGAGCTATCGAATTGGCAACTATTCCTGATTTTAATTTGGATGCCGATAAAACCAATATATATTCCCTACAAGTGCGCATTTTTGAAGAAGGAAAGGTAAGTGCACAAACCAGTGATCTTCATAGACAATATTTAAAGTGTTTTACAAAATTTTAGAAGCAAAAAGTCATCTTGGAAAACGACCCAAATTCGCAAGCTGAACTTCTACCACTTTTGAAAGCATTGATAAACGATTGCTACAAAAATGCGTTTAAGATATAAAATAAAAAAAAAAGATAGAAATTTATTTATACTAATTCATTCAGCTCTTCAAGAAAAAACAAATCTGACTGAGTAAAAACAACTATAATCTTGATATTAGGAAAGAATGATATTCTCTTTCCCACCATACGGCATTAAAATCCTGAGAAAAAATATTTTTTAGATTTTTTGTCCATTTTTCCTGATACGACCTTTGAAATTGGGTTTTTCCATATAGGGTCCACAGTAATGATTATATCTTCCCCAATTCTCATCCGATTCTCAATCGGATTACCTTAAACGATTTCAGAATCGATTTCACTATCCTGCATCAAAATCCCGAGACAAAATATATTTTAGATTTTTTGTCCATTTTTCGTGATGGGATCCCTTGAAAATGGGTTTTTCCATATAGGGTCCACAGTGATAGCTACATCTTCCCCAATTCTCATCCGATTCTCAAGCGGATTACCTTAGACGATTTCTGGATCGATTCTCCACCATTCTGCATCAAAATCCAGAGACAAAATATTTTGTAGATTTTTTGTCTATTTTTCGTGATGGGGGGTGATTTTTCGTGATCCCTTGAAAATGGGGTTTTTCCATATAGGGTCCACAGCGATAGCTATATCTACACCAATTCTCATCCGATTCTCATGCGGATTACCTTCAACGATTTCTGGGTCAATTTCCCTCTATTCTGCATCAAAATCCTGAGACAAAATATTTTTTAGATTTTTTGTCCATTTTTTGTGATGGGATCCCTTGAAAATGGGGTTTTCCCATATAGGGTCCACAGCGATAGCTATATCTTCCCCAATTCTCATCCGATTCTCATGCGGATTACCTTAAACGAATTCTGGGTCGATTTCCCTCTATTCTGCATCAAAATCGTGAGACAAAAAATTTTTTAGATTTTTGTCCATTTTTCGTGATGGGATCCTGAAAATGGAGTTTTTCCATATAGGGTCCACAGTGATGATTATATCTTCCCCAATTCTCATCCGATTCTCAAGCGGATTACCTTAAACGATTTCTGGGTCAATTTCCCTCTATTCTGCATCAAAATCCTGAGACAAAATATTTTTTAGATTTTTTGTCCATTTTTTGTGATGGGATCCCTTGAAAATGGGGTTTTTCCATATAGGGTCCACAGTGATGGCTATATCTTCCCCAATTCTCATCCGATTCCCAAGCGGATTACCTTAAACGATTTCTGGGTCGATTTCCCTCTATTCTGCATCAAAATCGTAGACAAAATATTTTTTAGATTTTTTGTCCATTTTTTGTGATGGGATCCCTTGAAAATGAGGTTTTCTCATATAGGGTCCACAGCGATAGCTGTCTTCCCCAATTCTCATCCGATTCTCCTGCGGATTACCTTAAACGATTTCTGGGTCGATTTCCCTCTATTCTGCATCAAAATACTGAGAAAAATATTTTTTCGATTTTTGGTCCGTTTTTCACGATGGGATCCCTTGAAAATGGGGTTTTCCATATAGGGTCCACAGCGATAGCTATATCTTCCCCAATTCTCATCCGATTCCCAAGCGGAATACCTTAAACGATTTCTGGATCGATTCTCCACCATTCTGCATCAAAATCCCGAGACAAAATATATTTTAGATTTTTTGTCCATTTTTCACGATGGGATCCCCTGAAAATGGGGTTTTCTCATATAGGGTCCACAGCGATAGCTATGTCTTCCCCAATTCTCATCCGATTCTCCTGCGGATTACCTTAAACGATTTCTGGGTCGATTTCCCTCTATTCTGCATGAAAATCGTGAGAAAAAATATTTTTTCGATTTATGGTCCGTTTTTCACGATGGGATCCCTTGAAAATGGGGTTTTCCATATAGGGTCCACAGCGATAGCTATATCTTCCCCAATTCTCATCCGATTCCCAAGCGGAATACCTTAAACGATTTCTGGGTCGATTTCCCTCTATTCTGCATCAAAATCGTAGACAAAATATTTTTTAGATTTTTTGTCCATTTTTTGTGATGGGATCCCTTGAAAATGAGGTTTTCTCATATAGGGTCCACAGCGATAGCTATGTCTTCCCCAATTCTCATCCGATTCTCCTGCGGATTACCTTAAACGATTTCTGGGTCGATTTCCCTCTATTCTGCATCAAAATACTGAGAAAAATATTTTTTCGATTTTTGGTCCGTTTTTCACGATGGGATCCCTTGAATATGGGGTTTTCCATATAGGGTCCACAGCGATAGCTATATCTTCCCCAATTCTCATCCGATTCCCAAGCGGAATACCTTAAACGATTTCTGGGTCGATTTCCCTCTATTCTGCATCAAAATACTGAGAAAAATATTTTTTCGATTTTTGGTCCGTTTTTCACGATGGGATCCCTTGAAAATGGGGTTTTCCATATAGGGTCCACAGCGATAGCTATATCTTCCCCAATTCTCATCCGATTCCCAAGCGGAATACCTTAAACGATTTCTGGATCGATTCTCCACCATTCTGCATCAAAATCCCGAGACAAAATATATTTTAGATTTTTTGTCCATTTTTCACGATGGGATCCCCTGAAAATGGGGTTTTTCCATATAGGGTCCACAGTGATGGCTATATCTTCCCCAATTCTCATCCGATTCTCACGCGGATTACCTTAAACGATTTCTGGGTCAATTTCCCTCTATTCTGCATCAAAATCCTGAGAAAAAATATTTTTTCGATTTTTGGTCCGTTTTTCACGATGGGATCCCTTGAAAATGGGGTTTTCCATATAGGGTCCACAGCGATAGCTATATCTTCCCCAATTCTTATCCGATTCCCAAGCGGAATACCTTAAACGATTTCTGGGTCGATTTCCCTCTATTCTGCATCAAAATCGTAGACAAAATATTTTTTAGATTTTTTGTCCATTTTTTGTGATGGGATCCCTTGAAAATGAGGTTTTCTCATATAGGGTCCACAGCGATAGCTATGTCTTCCCCAATTCTCATCCGATTCTCCTGCGGATTACCTTAAACGATTTCTGGGTCGATTTCCCTCTATTCTGCATGAAAATCGTGAGAAAAAATATTTTTTCGATTTATGGTCCGTTTTTCACGATGGGATCCCTTGAAAATGGGGTTTTCCATATAGGGTCCACAGCGATAGCTATATCTTCCCCAATTCTCATCCGATTCCCAAGCGGAATACCTTAAACGATTTCTGGATCGATTCTCCACCATTCTGCATCAAAATCCCGAGACAAAATATATTTTAGATTTTTTGTCCATTTTTCACGATGGGATCCCCTGAAAATGGGGTTTTTCCATATAGGGTCCACAGTGATGGCTATATCTTCCCCAATTCTCATCCGATTCCCAAGCGGATTACCTTAAACGATTTCTGGGTCGATTTCCCTCTATTCTGCATCAAAATCGTGAGAAAAAATATTTTTTAGATTTTTTGTCCATTTTTTGTGATGGGATCCCTTGAAAATGGGGTTTTCCCCCATAGGGTTCACAGCATTAGCTATATCTACCCCAATTCTTATTCGATTCCCAAGCGGAATACCTTAAAAAATTTGTACATTGATTTGCATTCATCTGCATAAAAAAAGGAACACATTTTTTTGTAGATTTTTTCTCTATTATTGTAGAGGATCACAAAAAAAATTGCCATAATGCCTTACAGCTCATCCTTGAGTTTATCACCATCAGCGCCCTCTGGTGGTGGAGCACCACAGGCACCCTGGTACAGCTTAGCGATCACCGGCTGGACAATAGCCTCGAGGTCCTTCTTCTGTTTCTTGTACTCCTCGGTATCGGCATCGGGATTCTGTTCCAGCCACTTGATGAACTCATCGATGGCCGACTTCAGCATGGTTTTCTCCTCGTCGGAGAGTTTGGAGCCCAGCTTGTCCTTGTCGCCGATCTGGTTCTTCAGGCTGTAGGCATAGGACTCCAGCTCGTTGCGGGAATCTACGCGCTCCTTGAGCTTTTTGTCTTCTTCAGCGAACTTCTCGGCATCGCGGATCATGCGATCAATGTCCGCGGGAGTCAGACGGTTCTGGTCGTTGGTGATGATCTTTTTCTTGTTGCCGGTGCCCTTGTCCTTGGCACTGACCTGCAGGATACCGTTGGCGTCGATTTTGAAGGAGACCTCGATCTGGGGAATACCACGAGTTGCGGGTGGAATGCCAGTCAGATCGAACTTGCCCAGGAAATGGTTGTCCTTGGTCATGGGGCGCTCGCCCTCGTACACCTGGACGGTGGCCTTGTTCTGGTTGTCGATAGTGGTGGTGAATAACTTGGATTTCTTGGTGGGGATGACAGTGTTGCGGGGAATCAGTTTGGTCATCACACCGCCGACAGTCTCGACTCCCATGGTCAGAGGATTGACGTCGAGGAGGACAATAACATCGTTATTCTGTTCACCGGAGAGCACTCCAGCGTGGACGGCGGCACCGAAAGCGACAGCCTCATCGGGATTGATGCCTCGGGATGGATCCTTGTCGCCGAAGAATTCCATGACCAGTTGCTGCACCTTGGGGATACGAGTGGAGCCACCGACCAGCACAATCTCGTCCAAGTCCTTCTTGTTCATGTCGGCGTCCTCGAGCACCTTCTGCATTGGCTTCAGGGTGGAGCGGAACAGGTCCAGGTTCAGCTCCTCGAACTTGGCACGGGTTAGGGTCTCGGAGAAGTCATCGCCCTGGAAGAATGATTCGATTTCGATGCGCACCTGATGGGATCCGGACAGAGCACGCTTGGCCTTCTCGACCTCACGACGCAGCTTCTGGACAGCACGGTTGTTCTTGCGGATATCCTTGCCCTTCTTCTTCTTGTACAGCTTGATGAAGTGATCAATAACGCGCTGATCGAAGTCCTCACCACCCAAATGGGTGTCACCGTTGGTGGCCACCACCTCAAACACACCGTTGTCAATGTTCAGCAGGGAGACATCGAAGGTGCCGCCGCCCAAATCGAAGACCAGCACATTCTTTTCGCCCTCCTTCTTGTTCAGACCGTAAGCAATGGCAGCAGCTGTGGGCTCGTTGATGATACGGAGCACCTGGAGACCGGCAATCACACCAGCATCCTTGGTAGCCTGACGCTGGGCATCATTGAAGTAAGCCGGGACAGTCACGACAGCGTGGGTGACCTTCTTCGCCAGATAGGCCTCAGCGGTTTCCTTCATCTTGCCAAGAACCATGGCGGAGATTTCCTCGGGAGCAAAGACCTCGGCGCCCTGGGAGGTGTTCACGCTGATGTGGGGCTTCCAGTTCTTTTCGACGACCTTGAAGGGGAAGAACTTGATGTCGTGTTGGACATTGGTGTCGGACCATTCGCGTCCAATCAGACGCTTGGCATGGAAGACGGTGTTCTCGGGATTGGTGGTCAACTGATTCTTGGCGGCATCACCGATCAGACGCTCACCGTCGGCGGTAAAGGCTACGTACGAGGGCGTGATACGGTTACCCTGGTCGTTGGCGATGATCTGAACGCGCCCATTCTTGTAAACACCAACACAGGAGTATGTGGTTCCCAAATCAATTCCGATCACAGTTCCGAGCTTCTTGTCTTTTTCTTTCTTCTCCTCGCCCAGCGAGAGGCCGACAAAGGCCACGACAGCCAGCAATATGCATAACCTCATCTTGAATATCTTTCAAACAAAAAAAACTTATCGCTTTGAAGTTTTTTCAGATGTGACCGATTCAATCAAAAGTGACAGAGTGAATGTGGCTACTTTCCTGCTTTTTGCCGGTGCTTTCTACTTACATGGACACACCTAATGAAGAAAAATGAAGAATACTAGGGAAGGTCAGTATGGGTGAATGCAAAGGCTCCATTTCCCAAGCGGCATACCTTAAAAGATTTGTACATCGATTTTGTATTCATCTGCATAAAAATATAGGAACACATATTTTTTTAGATTTTTTCTCTATTTTTGTAGAGGATCCTTTAAAAATTAAGAATTCAAGGGAAGGCCAGTATGGGTGAATGCGGAGGCTATATCTTTGCCGATACACATCCGATTCTCAAGCGGAATACCTTGAAGGGTTTATATATCGCTTCTGTATCAAACTGCGCCAAAATATTGGAACGAATTGAATCCAAATGCATTACTGTAATGCATTACCAATGATTAAAAAGATTTTGGCGCCACTCTAAACGCCTAAGATACCCAGCCGTACAAAGTGTTATTAGTTAGAAAGTTAGATTACCTGACATTAGTAAACCATGCAATAGATTAAGATGACAGTGGGCTAACTGAGATAGCTGAGGTCGCTGCGTTCAAAAGTTGAACGTGAAGTGGGTAGACTTCCATATGCAAATGTGTCTGTTCTGGGGGAGGTACAACGGCAACGTCAACAAGAGGAACTGCGACCAAAATCAATTCCCGTCATCCCACCCAAGGTGCAATATCCCCGAAGTAAAGTCAAACGAAATTAGTTTGGTGCTCATAAAACTTTTCCACGAAGTTTGCACTGGCCACACACACACACCAGTGCCAACCCATCCTTAGAGTTCAGGTGAGGGTATGTGTGTGTGTGCATACAATAACTTTGGCTTGCCGCCGATAGGGTGATGGGGGATGCAAGGAGTACGAAGACTTTGGGGTGTGGTGGAGGCAACCGGAAACCTGGCAACCCCACGCGGTTCTTCACCTGAGATTTGAGGCTTGAGACATGAAAAGTTTTTGCGTCCGGCTGGCCAGTGGGTCCCAGGGCTTTAATTGTATTTCAAGTTCCAGGTTGTTCTCGTCCACCTCAATTTTCCACCGCCGTTTAGTATTTTCGTCCTTGCCTCTTCTGGCCATACACACACTTCTATTTCCATGCGTGATAAATGGCCAAAACGGAAAAAACCGTAGAATGCCTTTTGCCGGCTTTGTTCGTTTTCCACGCTGAAAGCAACATTTCGGGGCTTTTGTCTTTCAATTTGGCCCAAAAATCTCTTTCGGTCAGTTTTGGTAGCTTTGCCGGAGCCTTACACCCCCAGTCCTTCTTCCTTGCTTGTAATCGCTCTGTTTGCATTTGCGTTGCATAGTTTTGTGGGGCAACGCACATACCTGGATTTTGTATCGAATACGGTCAAATCGCAGGATACAGTGAAACTAAGCTAAAGGTATTTTAAGCTTAATCTAAGTTACAATTCTGATTGAAGTCTAAATAACAAATTTAAATAAATTTGTTTGTGACTAACATAATTATCCATACATTTTTGGGCTCGTTAACATTTAGGTTTACAAATTCATATTTTGGCAAATTTTTATTAATTATACCCAGTGTTGGACCACTGAAAACCATAAGAAAGGTTTGTCTTAATAAATGTTAATAAAAGATCCATGATCCATGAAGAAATGGTTCAAATTTTTATCTATATCACTCATACGCAGTGTTGGCCTGAGATCAGCGTTCATATTACATAATTTGGAGGCCTTTTTAAAATTACTTACCTATTGGCTTATGATTTCCTTTTTATCCAAAATGTCTATATTGTTTTTACGTTTATGCAACGTCTTTGAATTTTTATACTTTATATATACTTTCCTTTAACTGTGGTACCACAAGGAGCTAAAAAACGGACCAATACTAGTCAAGTTCTACTGTAAAATTTTTGGCCAGAGCCGCCGTATAATTGGGCTAACGTGTTCTGCAAGAGTAATTCATTCTGTTTATATGCTCTTCGGTTGCGGCTAAGCTGAATTGTTGAAATGTGAAAAGATTTAATTTATTTGAAGTGCGAGCGAAAAAAAGAATTCCCATCGCTTCACTTTACCTCAGTGTCGGGGATTAGACCGCGTCCGGGTCTTCGAGCAGGATGCGCTGGATTTGCCCATTCGCCAGTTCGACGATTCAAGGATTCGCTTTCGAATTGCATTTATTCAAACGTTTCAATTGCTTTCCGTCGGATTCAATCTCCGAGTGATTTATTGTGTGGCTGGCCCAGACAAGCGATAAACTGAGGAGTAAGTGGTTGCCTGGGATGGGAATCGTGATTGCGTTTGCTTAGGCACAACAATTATCGGAAGTTAATGTAAACGAAATCAATAATTAGGTTGCGAACGAAGCCCAGAATTAGTCGCATTATAAATCGGAATGTATGCATTTACAATAATCAGATCTATAATTATATTATTAGATGGTATATTTAATAGCTAGTGCCTGGCTCCTTACAAAAAGGTTATAAATGGGACCCTAAGTCGCCAGATGGCGCATTCTTTAGTTGGAAAACAAAATGAAGTTCATGAAGTACGCCGTTATCTTTTACGCGTCCGTCGGCATAGAACCGTATACGAAATCTTCTAATTTGCAGAAGAGAAGCCTTTCGGTTAACCTTCTTTTCTGGGCCAATGTGATCAACCTTGGTGGGATTACTTTGGGAGAGCTCATGTACTTGGGCAAGTCCCTTTCCGACGGCAAGTTGCTCGAAGCTGTTACCGTGATGTCCTACATAGGATTTGTATTTGTCGGAATGAGTAAGATGTGCTTCATCTGGTCAAAAAAGCGTGAGCTCAGCAGTATGGTCGAGGAACTGGAACTGATTTACCCCAAGAACATCCAGGAGGAGAAGTATCGTCTGCAAAGTTACTTGCGTTCCTGCTCAAGAATCAGCTTCACTTATTTGCTTCTTTACTTGATTCTGATTTGGACATTCAATCTTTTCAACATGATGCAGTACCTAGTTTATGAAAAGTTGCTGAAATCTCGTACCGTTGGAAAAATTTTGCCGTATCCCCAGTACTATCCGTGGATGTGGGAAGGCGACTTTTCCTTCTATATACAGTTCCTCAGTCAAAACTTTGCAGGACACACCTCTGCCTCGGGTCAAATTTCCACGGACCTTTTGCTTTGCGCCGTGGCCACCCAGATAGTGATGCATTATGATTATCTAGGAAGGGGTTTGGAGAATCACAAATTGACTGGCGATTGGAAGAAGGATTCGAGATTTTTGGTTAAAATTATTCGCTATCATCAGCGTATTCTACGGTTGACTGAAGTGATTAATAAAATCTTCGGACTACCCCTGTTATTGAACTTTATGGTCTCAACCTTTGTCATTTGCTTTGTTGGCTTTCAAATGACCGTCGGGGTGCCGCCGGATCTTCTGGTGAAGCTATTTCTTTTCCTTTTTTCTTCTATGTGTCAGGTGTACTTGATCTGCCACCATGGCCAGTTGATTGCTGATGCGGTAAGATACATCGTCTTGCTTAAAAAAATGAAATAATTTTGTTTGTCTTATAGAGTTCTGGGTTAGCGATTGCCGCCTACAAACAAGACTGGAGCTATGCCGATGTCCGCTATCGTAGAGCTCTTGTATTCATTATAGCCCGATCCCAAAAGATAACCTATTTAAAAGCCACTGTTTTTATGAACATAACCAGGGCCACAATGACAGATGTATGTGTTCGAGTACCATATCTTAACATACATTAATAAGACTCTTATTTAAATATTTTCAGATCCTTCAGACTTCTTACAAGTTCTTTGCTTTACTTCGAACCATGTATATAAAATAAAACATTTTATTTTGCAAGTGCTACAGCGAATTATGTAAATTACGGATTTAGGGTCTTAAATGTTTTTAATCTTTTAATAAGTAATGCTTATATAAGTAAATTTGCAGATTTGCCAATTGTGTAGAATTCTTTATGATGAATTGATAGGGTAGTTCTATTTTTACAATGTAGGGGTCTACCAATAATTACAAGCTTGCGTGGCTTTGAACTATGAATTTGGCTAAGCAGGTGGAAGGATTCAAGGACTTGGATAGGCGGAAACTTTTTTGAAAAGTATACAAAAATAAGTACCTATTGCCAAGCCTTATTATTTTTTGTAATGAATTGCAATTCCTTGGCCTGAACTTTGAAGTAATGGAAGTACTTAATGACATAAGGTCATCGCCTACAAAAAATATATTATAAAATCAATAGACCTAATTAGAAGGTAGGAAAGATTGGTATAAATACATAGGAATCCATAACCAGTAGTCATTCAGTATTGAGCAACCGGATAAAATGGAAAAGTTTATGAAATACGCAATTTTCTTCTACAACTTGCTGGGTATCGAGCCGTACAGAATAGATTTGGTACATCAGAAAGAAAGTCGAAGAACCTGGACCTTATATGGGGCTCATTCTTTCAACCTGTTGCTGGTGACATTTGCAGAAAGCATTTACTTCTGGATGGCCTACAAAGAGGGTAACATTGTTGAGGCTGTGACTGTATCATCGTACATTGCCTTCGTTTTTGTGGGCGCCAGCAAAATATCCTTCATTATTTGGAAAAAGCCTCAATTAAGTGAACTAATGAGGCGATTAGAGGATATTCATCCGCATGGAGACACCCAGGAGGAGGCCTACAAAGAGAGGGATTTCCTCCGCTCATTTTTGAAGATCAGCTTTCGATACTCGCTTCTGTATTCGCTGCTCATCTGGACATTTAACTTGTACCCCTTGGTGGAGTATCTGGTCTACGAAAAATTACTAAATCTAAGAGAGGTGGGCAGGATGTTGCCCTATTTGCTTTACATTCCGTGGGAGTGGCAGGACAACTGGTCATATTATCCTTTGCTGTTCTCCGAAAACCTGGCAGGCTGCACTGCGGCAGCATCACAAATTTCAACGGATCTCCTGATATGCGCCGTGGTAACGTTGATAGTGATGCATTTTGAGCATCTAGCGAACACGCTGAAGAACCATAAGTTGAGCGGAGATTGGAAGGAGGACTCACGATTTTTGGCCCACATTGTTAGCTACCACGAAAGTCTCCTTCGCCTCTTAAATGAGATAAACGATCTCTTTGGAATCCCCCTACTTTTTAATTTTATGGTATCCTCGGGATTGATTTGCTTTGTGGGATTTCAGATGACAGTGGGAGTTACTCCCGACATGATTTTCAAACTTTTTCTGTTCCTGTTCTCTTCGACTAGCCAAGTGTATCTGATTTCCTATTACGGACAGTTGGTCGCTGATGCGGTATGAGGTTTAAAAGAGTAAAAAAGTATCTTTAAAATAAATATTTTTTTCAGGGCTTTGATATATCTCTGGCTGCTTACAGTCAAGACTGGTATGACGCCGACATTCGATACAAGCGTGGCTTAATTTTAATAATTTATCGTGCCCAGAAAATCACCTATTTAAAAGCCACTGTTTTCTTAATTGTCACCAGATCCACGTTTACTGAGGTAGGTATCGTTTGTAGATAAATAAATTGATATTATTTGAATATTTTTCAGCTCTTACAAATGTCGTACAAATTCTTTACCTTGCTCCGCACTATGTATGTAAACTAAAAGATTGCAAGATGGCATTTTAATCACCAAGATTTTAGTGGATTATCGCACTCAATGCTCTATGTAGAATCAATACTATTATTGGTGTAGTAAAAATCAGTTCTTTAGTAAAAACCTAAAACGTTTTTAGGATACTTTTCAAAACTTTTTAAAGAGATTAGTTGTTGCCTTGCTGCAAGACATGTGCAAATTGCAAAGGAAGATGACCATGATAGACCCTCAAGCTCTAAGCCCTACACCAAGCACTCCATACAATGCTTTCAAAGGCTCAACGCGAACGTAATTATGCGGCGGCACGAGTTCCACGCATGTCCATCCGCATCGCAGCTTTGGGGTAAAAAGAGGAAAAATAGTAGCAATCTTTTTAGCGCTCGTAGCTGCCACTGAAAAGGCAATTCTACGGCTTCACTGAAGGGAGGAAATATGCTGCTACAAAAGAAAATTGCAGAGTAAATTTTACGCTTCACTGCATACAAGTTGTGCTTATGAGTTTTTGCAGTTTGTTAAAGGAAAGTGGAGAGGTATTTTCGACTTGATTGGAACTTGACTTTGTTAGTTTATAAAAGGATAAATATCTGAACTTATTTTCAACGACATACAAAATGCTTATCTTAAAAAATATAAGAAAAATAAACCAGAATGAAAATAACAAAATTTTATTATTAAAAGTCAGTTTATAAATTAAACGTTTAGGGTGATTGGTAGTTCATTTCGTCGGGCAAAGCTTCTTTGTTGTTGGTGAATTTTTTTTTTAACAATTTCGAACTTGGCGATGGGAGCTAGGAGGATAGCTCCTTCTCTAGGCAACGGACAACTAACTGGTTTGATGGCATCTAATGCAGTTTTTCCATGATGTGTGGCTGTGTGCACGCACTCAACAATATTAGCAATTTATGCGTTGAAGCGTGTCAGTGGGCGTGGGAAGTGGGAGGCGGAGTCGAAGGAAGGATGTGGGAGTTACTCGTATAACATTTTCATTTTTGACGAATTCCGACATCACCTGCCATAGTTATTGTTTGGGAAAGCCACGTGCATAAAATATATTAAAATCTATTTTTTGCCCAATGCCACCAACTCAAACTCAAACTGAAAAACCGCCCGAGGGCTTGTCAATTTCCCATTTCCCTTGCTCTGTTCCTGGTATGACATATTTTTTGTGGGCTAAAAAATTTTACTTACTTATTTATTTTTGTGGGTGACTGTGTATATCTTCAACTGTGTATATAGACCGTCGCTTTTCGTTGTGTGCGCTGTGGCTCTTTTTGGGGATTTATTTTTCATTTTTGTGAAATTTTTATAAAGCTTCAAATGTGATACAATTTAATTTCTGGTCACGTTTTGTGTGATTTCCAAATGGCAACAGTTACAACAAGAACAGAAATAAGAGGGCGGGAAGGTTGAAAAAGTCTTTCAATATATCTCCCTGTCATATTGCATAATTTAAGGCGCTCTAAGCATGGAACACGTTTATTACCCCATATACATATTTATGTATTTAAGCGTCCATCTGTCTGGACGGAAAACCAATGGCCACTGGCCGGCAACACAAAGATCGTATCTGGCGAAGTCAATTACTGATACTGTCACGGTTAACCTGGCGCCATGGATTTTATCCTCGGCATATTAGTATGCAACTGCGGCTAACCGAAAAATAATTAAATTGTATATTTGTATAAATCAATAATAAATTAGCTAATTGCCAAACATGATAAATAAATTTGGGATACATGATTAAAGTTGTGTATGCTTTGGGGTGACGATATTGCATTTTGTGGTCAGTAAACGACGGCATCTAAGTATTTGCAAACTATTGTTGTTTGATTTTCGTAAGTGAATTGTTAAATAATAGGGGTAATTTCAGTAATCACGCATATTTAAAACTATTCTGTCTGTTTGTTAATTCCATACTTAATGCCTAAAGACTTGTGACTTTAATTTGCATGTCCATGTTGTTTAAATAGACCAATTCACCTCTTATGATCTGCATCATTTTGTCAAGTTTCGAGAAAATTTCTGATTCATTATCTCAATATCGAATTGAACGTTATATCACATACAGAGCAAAGGCTATCAACATAAGCATTTATACCATTTATGGTTAAATGTGAATTTGCATTTTTCATGCAAAATGCACCGAAACCAGCAGAGCGAAAAGTGAAACTGCAAAAAGGTGGCCATTTTTTGTATCAGTTTTTTTTTTGCAAACCTTTCAATGAATTTCTCCCACCAGCGGTTGTTAAGTCCACTTATCAAAACGTGCAAATAACTCAGCTCCCAGGATAGGGACAAACACGTGATGGTGCCGTGATGACCCAGTGGGGCGTGTTCAATAGCCAATTGGCAAAAAACCGATGGCATTGTTGCAGGCGTAAAGCAAAGCAAGAAAAAAAATATATCTATATAACCCAAAAGCCGGACCAAGCCCGGACAGTGCATTATTGTTGCCTCACTTTCGGCGGAGACGGAGGGGGAGTTTGTTCTGTTTTTTCAATTAGCTGCCATTAAATTGAATTCAAATATTGAAACAATATGTTGCCCAGCAGGCCCTGGCCAGCAGGGCCATACTCGTATATAAAGCCCGGCCGTTGGGAGATTTTAGTTTCAGCTTAGCACCAGTACACACCCCTTGCTGATCGGCTGTGATTTATTGATTTCGAGTGCAGTTTTTCTTGTCAAAAGTTGACTGCGGCTCATACGCTCTGGTGTCCACACAGAAATGTTAAAATACTAAAAAAATTGGCCTCGCGGAAATCGCATAAAAATTGTTTCGATTTCCATTCAGTTTTTGGCTCAAAGGATTCACCCTCTACCCCCGAATCCTGGTGAATGTGTGAAAATCCTCACATATCGATATAGAGAATCCTTTTCAGTGGCTGATCCTATACATTTGAGTGCAGCACGGCAAGCCAGCATAGAAATGGATACTAAAAGCCTCTAAATTAGTTTTCTAGTGTTATTACTCATACGCACTGTATGCGGAAATGATATTTTTATGGCCTTGCATTAGGGAAATGGTGTGGCGTTCTATGAATATGGTCGCAAATGAAAGACTTGCCTCTGCTTGAAATACATTCTCGGAAAGACAACATTTGTTAATGGCCATCCAAAGTGACTGGATGTTTTGGGGCTCCATTTTTTTTGTATCCTTGGTACTGCCTCTGCTATTTCCAGCGATGATTGTCGATGATTTAACGATGGCTTATTGATTTCTTATAGGCCCATTAATAGTGGCCCCTTCCCCGGGGCCAACTAATAGCATTCATATTCTAAGCGATTTGTCAAAGGGACAGAGGACATGTGCCTTTATCAGGATAATTATGACAATAATGTGAGGCGATACCGGGACGGAATCTATATATATTTCATTGCTGGAATATATCAAAGGAAAAAAATCGAGTCTAGACGAAGGACGGTAGGGGCTGGGGCATAAGCAGGGCTTAGGACCAAAGTAGGCTGCTGAGCCACACAAAGCGGCCACAAAGACGCGCGGCTTGTATGCGCAAAGATAAGCGTGGGATTTCATTTGCTCATTACTCAACAGCTTACACGGAAGCTGAGAAGTAGAAGGGGCAAAGGCAAGCCGGAGGAAGTAATAAGAGCGCGGCAGCGAGCACATAAGAAATGCATGTGCACATAATTCATTTTTTATGCTGGATTACAGCAGCAACAAAAATGATGGCGGCTAAGTAGAGTTTCAAGGCTCATACCTACAACTACAACTGCAGCTACAGCCTCAACCACACCGGCACCCACACTAGTGCACAAAAACTTGCTAGAAGAACATTTAGAAAGAGAGAAGACGCAGCTGGGAGAGTGAGGCGGCAGTAGCGCTTGTCATCGTCTCCAGCTCCTGCACCGGAAACGGAAGCGACATCCAAGTTTATGTTAAAGTTTGATGCAAAACTCCCACAACTCACACATGCAATGCATACACTTTGAATATTGTTTAAAAAATTAAAAGTTATAGCAGTTTATTTGTAACTAATATATAGAAAATAAGAATGTTAGTTATATTAAGATAATAGCTATTGGTTTTAAATATTAAGGGTGGTGATTTAAAATTAAACCAATCTCTAAATAAGACAAACAAATATCTGAAATCTTCAGAAACATCAAACATTTCTTTAAGAATTTTGTTCAGTGTAAGTAGCCTGACTATATGAGCTCGGAAAAGTTTCGCTCCGTGTTGACTTTTGTGGCTCCTGTAAGTGTTGAGACTTGCGGTGGTGTCCGTTGCCAGGGTGTGCGTGCATGTGTGTTGCAGGTGGAAAGGAAATTAAATCAGCCTCGTGTGGCGTGCACATCATTAGTATGTATAGAGGCTTCTTGGGCAAGGACGGATGATTATGAAGGCTGTAGATGACGGTGTGCTACCGAAGTGGCATGGTTCTTATAAGTCTGCGGCACTTTTCTTATTGCCACTGCAAATTGAGTTTGTATTAAAGTGGCAACGGTTTGATTAGTCCTTGCATACCAAATTGACTCTTCCTGGATGAGTCCATATACGTAATATCAGTGCCCTCTTGTGCCAGCTGACCAAATAGCAAATGTCAAACGAAAGCTCCTTTTGCCATCCATTGGCAGGACGTTGTCTGCCTGTTTGTTTGCCGGCTCAAAGCGCTGAATGTTGAAAGGACCCCTGTTCTTGGTCGGATCCTGCAGCTGGGATATTTGCACACTAGTGCAGTT